TGCCGGGAGGGGTCTAGGCGGACAGCCTGTCCCAGCTGTCTGTCTCAGGACGGCAGCTGGGCTTCCGAGGGTGACACTTCCAACGTCGCACAGCAGTGCAGCGTGAGAGCCAGACTGAGGTCGCAGCCCAGCTTTTCTTCGCCACCTCCAGGCTTGTGTCCGGACACAGTCCTGCAGCTTGAGGCTCTCTGGGGACCATGGGACCCAAACATCCACACGCACGGGTTTCCCAACTTCTCCCGCGATCATGATCGCAAGGATACAGTTGGATAATACCCACTGTCAGCCTGGACCCTTGGAAAAAACTAGACAAAAGATGTTACGGATAAAATGTGTGTCTTCCCCAAGTTTATGTTGAAATCAAAACCCCCAAGGTAATGGTATTAGGGAGGTGACTGGGCCATGAGGGTGGAGCTCTCCTGAGTAGGGTCGGTGCCTCGCGAAGCGGGTGATGAGACCAAGGCTGTCTCTCTGCTGTTGAGCGCACAGGGAGGGCGGCCCTGCATTCAGGAAGGGGCCTCACCAGGCACCAGGTCAGTCCGCTGGTGCCTCACATCTCGGCCTCCCAGCCCCCAGAGCTGTGAAAATACATGTCTGCCCTTTGTAGCCGTCCCGCCTGTGCTGTTCTGTTGCAGCCTAGACTAACTGAGACGGAGGACATTGGGATTCGGTCCAGGTGATTCTCAAACACGGTGGCAGATGGTAAACCATCATGGAGTTGCACGAGGAAAGAAATGGCTGATAAAACAGGACCAGAGAAGTTTTAAAAATTCTCTTTATGCATGAAGACCTTAGATCGGACCCTGGCACATAGTAAGTTACCAAGGTAATGTCAGCTATAGTAATAATGATAATAATAGTAACAAAACAACAGTTATCGTCATCATCATCACCATCAGCATCATCAACCTCCCGCACCAGACAAGAATATCCTGTAGAACAATATTTTTCAAATACAGGTTGGGATCCATTAGGGTGCATAAAACCAAATTCCTGAATCAAGACCAACATCTTAAAAGGTGAAACGGAAGAGAATAAATAAAACAGAACAAAACAGACAATTACAAAAATGCACTTCAGATAGTAAAAGAATAGGTCTATGAAAAGTGTTTTCAGATCTATACGTATTTGTACACTGCGTTACATGTAAAATACATTTATTTCTGTGACTCATGCTAAAAAGGCTTGAAAAATACTGTTGAGCAAAGAGCTGGTGCCAGGAAGACCCAGACCCTGGAAGGCCATGGCCACACCTCTGAAAGGGCCTGTCTTCCCACCCCCACCCCAGCTGAGGGCTGGTCCAGGGAAGTCCTTTCCGGCCTGGGTCCTGCCCTCCGGACACAGCACCAGGCAGGCTGTCTCCCGGAGGTCAGCTCTTAGGCCCTGCAGATCCCTCCCTCCCAAGCCAAGCACCTCCCTTCGTTCTCATCCTTTTCCTTCCTCCCATGGAATTTCCAGACCACGACTTGTCCCTGTTCATGTGCCACCAGGACCACGCCTGTGTTTGAATGTCTCTTCGGCACTTTTTTTGCAAAGCACGCTCTTATTTCTGGACTGTCCTGCACGCCAGACACTGTCCTGCGTGCTGTATACATCCCGTTAGGCTGCAGCCTTCGCTGCAAGGGACAGAAAGACAAATCAAAATGTCTTCAGCAAAAGCACAAAAACAAAACAAAACCTGTTTGCTCGGGTGACTGCAAACCCGAGGGATTCGAGTACAGCTCAATCTAAAGGAAGTTGTCATAACTGTTTTCTCTGTTCCTTCTCCTCTGTGCTTTGGTTTCCGTTGACCTCCCTCACAGGCTGGCTGTCCACACGTGCTCCCAGCAGCTTGAGACCCACCTCCTAGCTCCCACCTGGAGACCCACCTGCTAGCTCCCCACCTGGAGACCCACCTCCTAGCTCCCACCTGGAGACCCACATCCTAGCTCCCACCTGGAGACCCACATACTAGCTCCCACCAGGAGACCCACCTCCTAGCTCCCACCAGGAGACCCACCTCCTAGCTCCCACCTGGAGACCCACCTCCTAGCTCCCACCTGGAGACCCACATCCTAGCCCCCCACCTGGAGACCCACATCCTAGCCCCCACTTGGAGACCCACATCCTAGCCCCCCACCTGGAGACCCACATCCTAGCCCCCACCTGGAGACCCACATCCTAGCTCCCCACCTGGAGACCCACATCCTAGCTCCCACCAGGAGACCCTCATCCTAGCTCCCACCAGGAGACCCACATCCTAGCCCCCCACCAGGAGACCCACATCCTAGCCCCCCACCTGGAGACCCACATCCTAGCCCCCCACCAGGAGACCCTCATCCTAGCTCCCAGCAGGAGACCCACATCCTAGCTCCCACAAGGAGATCCACACCCTAGCTCCCACCTGGAGCAGCAAAGGAGCTGCTCTCCCCCCAGCGCTACAGCTATAGTCCTGGGTGTGGTTTCCATTGCCTTTGCTTGGGTCACAGGCTCATCCCTACACCAGGAAATGGGGTCAATTTCACGGGACACCATAGGCTGAGCTTGCGTGGTGCTCAGAGCAAAACTAAGATGGAGTAGCTGTTCCCAGGGAACGCGGAATAAATGCAGAGCAAACTAAAGCAAAAGCCATCTACAGGGTCCTCACAGTTCGGTAAGCAGGATGCTATTCTTAGATGTGGGACTGAGGGTCAGGATAATTATGTAATTTAACTAAGATCTCATGGCCAAGAGGGGACAGAACTGAGACCCTCGGCCGGAATCCCCAGTTCTTGTCCTGTGCTCACTGCCATGCTTCTTGGACGACACTGCTCTCCCAGCCCAGGACGGTCCGGCCTACAGACTCCAGGTCCCTTCATCTCCACTCCCCACCCCAACCGTGCAGACAGGGTTCCAGCTGCCTTCGGGGAGCCAGACCACAGGGCTGGTTCATCCTGGGCTCCCAGGCAGTCAAACTCTTGTCCCCAGGCTTCATCAAGTTCTTCCAGCCTACATGCGGACTGTCTTCTAACAGGTGCCTGGGGCGGGGGACGCCAGAGGCCTGAACACTCGGTGGTGCTGCCTGAGCCAATGCTGAGCGCAGGACACGGAGCCCTACGCTGCTGCCGGGGAGGAAGAGTTAACAGAAGGAGAACTGTGCCCTTGTTTACTTGTGTTCCGGTTTCTTTTTTCAACTGCAGTACTGGGAAGGATACAGGACTTCCCCGCTCCTCACTGGAAACAGAACCTGTGCAGACCACAGCTCCAGCACAAAGGCAGACAGATGTATTATGGGCAAGAAGGAGCCAAGTTGTAGGTGGTCAACATCCTTGGAGGCGGGCTTGGCCGCAGCCTGTCAACAGGCCTGCGGATCTTTAATTAAACATCCGGCCTCTGCCAGGGTCAGAATAAGGAACAACAGTGATTCTCGTTCCCTACAGCAGCAGAGAGAATGCTGCCTTCAAGGGAAGGAAAAACTACAGCCTTCCGTTCCTCCTTCCCTCCCTCTTCCTTCCTTCCTTCCTTCCTTCCTTCCTTCCTTCCTTCCTTCCTTCCTTCCTTCCTTCCTTCCCTCCCTCCTTCCTTTCTTTCTCCCTCCCTCCTCCTCCTTCCTTCCGTCCTTTCTTCATTCCTTCCTTCCTCCCTCATTTCCTTCCTTCCTTTCTTCCTTCCTTCCTTCCTTTCTTCCTTCCTTCCTTCCTTCCTTCCTTCCTTCCTTCCTTCCTTCCTTCCTTCCTTCCTTCCTTCCTATCCTCCTTCCTTCCTCCCTCCTTCCTTTCTTCCCTCCTTCTCTCCCTCCTTCCTTCTCTCCCTCCTCCCTTCTTTTCCTCCGTCCTTACCCCCTCCTCTCCCTCCCTCCTTTCCCCCCCTTCTTTCCTCCCTCCTTCCTTCCTTCCTAGCTCATCAGTGAAGATTCTGGTTTGTGACAGAGGAATTGGGAGATGGCAGGACAGTAGAATTACTGCTTTTATCCTTTCAGGGACAAAAGCATGAATCCACTTCACAGGAGAAACCCTTGTTTGAAACTGATAAACACCAAGTTAATTTCGTTGCTGTCTTCGGTGTGAGCTGCTTGTACCCAGACCGACTCCTTCGAGAGGCTCCAGGTCCTGAGGGCAGCAGGACACGCGGGGCACGCCTTCCACTGACAGACTGCGTTGAAAACACTCTTGGGTACTTAATAAGTGATTGTTGAGAGAAACGAATAAATGTTATAGGTAGGAGAACATCCAAGTCAAGATTATTCCTGTGCCCCAGTGTTTGGCCTTGGAGCTGGGCTGTGCAGAGCTTGTGGAATCGGCCGCAGTGGCTAAGGCTCGGGCCCTCTGGCCACACGTGCCCTCTTCTTAGGAACACACTCCAGCTAGCTCTGGAGACTGTTCCGTAGGCTTCCGAAACTGTCAGAATTTTTCAGAAGGTTTGGGATTCCTCGTGCTACTGAGTGTGCTTTTTCTCTTTGCTGTTATTACACTAAGTAACTCCTGGAGTGGGTTACTTACTATACAGGAACAATCAGCAATGTCTGGAGACATTCTGGTGGCCACGTGTGGTGGGTGTGGTGGCATCTTGTGGGTGGAGGCCAGGAAGGCTGCTGGGCGTGCACAGGTAACCCCTGACCTCACCCTGAAACATAAAACCACCCATCCAGCATGCCCACAGTGCCAAGGTCAAGAAATGGGGTCACCCTGACAGGGGTTCTTGTTGCAAAGGAGGGGAACCACGAATATAAAATGAGACCATCCTTCCTCTGTTGCATGTCTCCCTGGTTTCCCTGAGGCCCATGAAATTCCACGGGTTATCTGTGCCCAGAGCACAGCGAGAGCCCGCAGGGAAATTAGAGCAGAGATCAGTGAGAATAATAACAGTAACGACTCACATTTGTAGCTCGCTCTGCTGTTTACCAAGCGCTTCCTCACACGTGAACTCAACTGGAGCTTTGCTGGGGCGGGAAGCTGGAAGGATTTCCCTAAGAATATTTCCCATGTTATGTGTTTCCAGAATGAATGGTTTCAAACAAATTACAAATAGATTAAACAAACTACTTTTGGTCAAACAGAAAAGCAATTACATGATGGGAAATTGTAGTAATCTGTCACCAGCATCTGCTCATGGATCCGGGGGCTGGTTCCAGTCTCCTCGGGCACCTGCCATGAACACACCAGGACAGAGAGGGCTCGGTCGCCCTCCTTCTCTGAGATGCCAGGATAAGAGCAGTTGCCTGGAGAAGGTATTAGGAGAGGGACCCGAGTTTCCCCAGTGGCAACTCAGGGGAACTTCTCGTTCATTAAGTCCTCACGGATTGGGCTGGACTGGGCCTCGGATGGATGCTTACATGCTGTAATTTCATTTCTGAGCACCATTTATCTGCCAGGTAGGAGAGTCACTCACCCACATTTGATGGATGAGAAAACTGAGAAGTTACACCATTGCCACAGATCACGCAGGAAGGAATAGCTGGTGAGCCAGGGTTTGAACCCTGGTCTGTCTGCCCCCAGTCTACACATCCTCAGTGATGTCGGCTGAGATCTGCAAATACTTGGTCCTTGGTACACAGAAGGTACCGAATCAGCACTTGTTATTATTGTCATTTTCCCGGAGAAAATTAAAGTAAAAATCTCAAATATTGACAGCACACACACACACACACCTTCTTGGGTCTTTGGTGAACTTGTCAATGGTAACAATGTAGCCTGTGGCTTCTGCTCTTATTCATCCCCATGACACCAAAGTGTCTGGTTTATTAACTAAGAGCTGAAAATAAACTCCTCACTTGCTCCCATGTTTACATATATGGGAGCTCTGCACACAATGGGATATGGAAGGTACAAACTTGTGTCTACAATTCTAAATATTGCTACTGCCCTCCTCCGTACCTTGTACATACTCATTTTGGGAAAAAAATTTATTTTGAAATAACTGTAGGTTCACCTGAGAGACCTCAGGCCCAAACATTCTTTACTCGGTTTTCCCCAATGGTGTCACCTGGCACAGTTCTAGTCTAGTATGACAGCCAGGAGACCGTCACTGGCATGGATACATTTGTCCCACCTTATTCAAATCTCACCACTTTTAAATGCACTCAGGTGTGTGTGTGTGTGTGTGTGTGTGTGTGTCTAGTTTTATGCAATTTTATCACGTGCACTTTTTTATTTTATGGCATGATAAGTACTCTTTGTACCATCAATATAAATCAAATAATAGTACAAAACTATGATGAGACACCTTTCTTGTGTAGATAGTGATTCAACTGGTTACTGAAGATATGCCCTGTGCCAGGCACTTTTATAAGACAAAAAATACTAGATATGAAGACAAAGAAAGCCCGACCCCGCTGTCATGGGACTTGGGGTCTCGTGGGAAAGGCAGGGGTACAGATAATCACAGGGACTGTGAAATGAAAGAAGCATTTTAATTAATTGTAAAAACAATCAAGATGAATACAATGATATATGTTGGTGATTGTTATATTGGCTTTGATCCCAAAGTCACTTAAACCCTTAACACTGTATATGTCAATATATTAATAGTAGTCCTGCAACATATGTTTAAGGTTTTAAAATATTAGCTCTAATGAGCTATCAATATGGTGTCTGTGTATCTTTTCTCATCACAACAATTCCATTCAATATGTTGAAACATAAAAATAAATCAACTCCAGATTTGAGTTATTCATGCATAGATTCCCCCATTTCTTCATTATAAGATTATTTAGAATTCCATAAAATACATATATCTGTCTGTGCTTGATTAAACAAAGATGTTTGTCAGAGGAGAAGAGAAGATTTGGCATACTGACAGGTGCTCTTTAAGCTTTTATACATAATAAAAAGAAGAACAGTATTTCATACCACATGAATCATCTCTGCCTAAGCTGGGAGAAGCCAGAGGAAAAGTGTTTTATAACTGAGTAACATCATGTCCATATACCTGACAGTCGATATCCTGCAGGATGGGGGAAGGGCGTGCTTAATGGGGTGTGGGCTTAACAGGGTGCGTGTGTCTGTGTGAAACAGCCTCACCTACTACTGAATCCAAATTGCTCTTTGCTGCTAAATCTACCCCACGTTCTCTGGGAGTTCCCAACTCAGTGTTCAAGAGCCATGCGGGGGTCCTGAGGGATGCAGGACGATGAGACGGGAGTGCAGAGCGTTTTGTCTCTTTCTCCACTCCATCCCCATCACTGCTAGAGAGGGGAGAAGAATCGACAGGCATGAAGGCAGAGCCTCTGGGCCAGGACCACAGCGCTCACTGCTGACCTGGCCTGGGTTGGCGCATGCGTTCTTGGGCGCCTGCTTGGTGTAAAGCAGAGCAGCAGGTGCCATGGGGATTTCACAGAGGGTGACATCTGTCAGCCAGGAAGCATTATTTACCACCTACTATGTGTACAGCACAGTGCTAAGTTCCGGACAACCAGCTCTCGGAAATCATCTTTACCTTTGAGAAGTATACGGTCAAGTTAAGAAGCCAGGAATTAGCAGCATTTCAATGGTGATATAAAAATAACCCAACAGTGGATTTTTAAAAAGCATATCATCTAAGATATAAACACTGTAGGAATAACAAAAAGAAAGGAAGGCCCTGCCAGCCAAGTCAGGAGCGGATCCTTGGATGTGACCCAGTGTGCGGTTAGTTCTGAGGGTGGGAGGAGCCAGGTGCCGGATGGAGCGGCCAGGACAGAGACCCTGCCTCGCCGTGTTTGAGTCAGACAAGCTGAGACTGATTCTTGGCCCCTCACTTTCTATCAGGCAGCCTGAGAAAGTGCCTTAAGGTCTCTGAGAGTCAGTTTCATGGGTTAGTAGGCATGAACGGTACCTTGGACTGTGTCGTAGGAGGGATGGCAAGTGTTATTACCTGTGAAGACTTAACATATTCAGTACTTGCCGGAGGAAGATAGCCATGGGGTCGGGGGTAGGGAGGAGAAGAGGAACAGATGAATGAATAGCAGAGGGATGAACAGAGTTCAGGGACAACCTAAAGTCGTCAGAGGAACTGAGCTTCTTTTCTAAGCAGCCGAGGGTCTTTTGAGTGAACCTAACAAGTCAAAACAAATAAGCATATGGGCATGTAATGTGTTAGCAGATAAATACGTATTCACCACTAACGAGGCAGAATGGAGAAAAACACTGAAGTGTGTGGGCAAGTATTGCAAAGGGTATGTGGAGGGAGGGATGGCTGGGTTGGGAGGGAAAGTTGACCAGAGGCCAGTGACACTGGTGAGCACGGATTACAGTCCAATGTCCCCGACTCCGAGCTTCAGTTTCCCCGCGTGTCTGTGCTGGACCGCGCGAGCCAGGACCCCTCCCTGGGAGCTCCAGAACACGTTTTGTGTTAGGTCAAATATCTAATTATAATTAGGGGGCTTACAGAGTTTATTATCCAACCCGGGAGGCTGTTGTTCTGACACGTGCTAAGCCAGATGGGAAGCCAGGAACACAAAGGTCACCTGGAACTGTCCAAACCAGAAGCTGTGCTCGCATTTCACACAACCCACGTACATAACATTAACTTCCTGTTTGCTAGGCTGTTACATAAACACTGGGGGATGTCTGCGTGTATCGTCACCAAATGGGGCGGGACTGTCTGGGACTGTCTGGATCAGAACATGGATTTCTATAACATTGACATTGAGGGAGCTGGGAAGCGCCCCAATGGTGGAGCCAGCCTTTCCCCAGCATCTGAAACAGACTATGAGGGGGGCTGGGAACGGCCACGCGGGAGAGAGGCCATTGAACTTGGACCAGCAGTGGACACACAGAGCAGACAGTGAATGCAGAGCGCAGCAGCAGGTCCGAGTTCCCAGGCAGGAGGGCCAAGCCTGCGGGACAATGGCACCCGGAACCCAACTGGTCGCTTCCTGGCTCTGTAGCTCTACGAGGCACAGCTATGAATTGTTGGGACATACGTCTTCTCCACAGCAACACAGGAAAGGTCACCTTAAGCCTTAACATCTGTAGAGTAATTTTGTAGCAAGCCTGCTAGTAATTTCATTTTTTAACAGCTGAACTAAAGTATAATTGAATACAACACACTGAAGTATAATTGAATACAACAAACTGAGCACATTGATTTGGGGGTACTCTTACTCTTGTTTGGTCATCAAGTGTCCAGTTTCTGTGTGCTCCAAATATATGGTGTGTGTTGGGCACTGGTAGGGTGTCAGTGGTTTGGGGGTACCCTGCCTGGACTTCAGGTTCCCAAGGGGAATGAGTTTCACTGGAGTCGGGCTCTGGGCCTCTCTTGAGCCCTACCTCCCTCTGCTTAGGGAATGTGGAATGAGCTGTTTGGTAAATGCTGGAGGAGTTAGTGACGCATTTAATCCATACTGCAATGCTGTAAGGTAGACACTGCTGTTGGTTATGTCCAGTTCAAAGGTGGGGAGAATGAGGCAAACAGAAGTTAATGACCTGTCCCCAGTCACATGTCCCTGGACTGCCTTCAGTCCCTGTGTCCCAAACCTTTACAAGCTATATCCACTGACAGGGGGTCACTGAGGATGGGTGGTCAGGGAAGGAAGTGGGGAGAAGACGGGTGGAGAAGGGGCATGAGAACATTCCAGAAAGAGGAGCCAACTGGGGCCAGAACAACTGGTAATGAGAACAGAAATGAAGAACCTTGTACAAGCCAACAAATCGGCATTCTCCCATCTTACTCTTTGGAATCAATGGTCCCTGATTCTTATGCAACCAAAAATGGCAGAAACACCCACACACAATTCAGTCCAATATTAAACTTAGGAATCCACCATTAAGATGGAACGTCCTAAGAAAATAGAATTGTGGTGGGCAGAATCCCAACATGGTACCACAAGACTCTGGCTCTTGGTTATTCAAGATAATAATAGTCTTGGTGCTGCTGCAGAGGGATTTGGCTGATGTAACCAAAGTCTCAGATCAATATTTCTAAAACAGGGAGATTATCCAAGTGGGTTGGACCCAATCACATGAATCCTTTACAAGCAGAGATTTTTCCCTGGCTAATCACAGAAGGGGAAGTCAGAGACTCAAAGTGAGAGACAGACTTGAGGTGAGGGAGGGTATGATTTGGAAGGGATTCAAGTGGCCTTCAGAGGCTGAGAGCTGTCTCTGGCCAACGGCATAAAAGAAAACGGGCTCCTTAGTCCTACAACCACAAGAAATTGAATCCTTCCAA